GAGGAAACCGGAGCACCCGGAGGAAATCCACACAGACACGGGGAGAACGTGAAAACTCCACACAGACAGTCGCCCGAGGGTGGAATCGAACCCGGGTCCCTGGCGCTGTGAGGCAGCAGTGCTAACCACTGAGCCACCGTGCTGCCCATATAGATCAGATCTATGCTCTGCAGTCCTCCCACATCCAGTTGTGAATGGTGCTCAAAAATTAAGTCACAAGAGGAGAAGCCCTCACAAAAAGCCCTTTCCTCAATGATGAGAAAGCCCAGCAGATCAGTGCAAAAGACAAGATTGAAGCATTTGCAACAATCTTCAGCCAGAAGTGTTCAGCGGACAATCCAACTCAGCCTTAGCCAGAAATCCAGCACAATTACAACCCTGGCACCTACACAGTTTTGTGGAACGTTATGCAGGTACGCCCTTTCGAGAAAACAGCAGGACAAATGCAATCCAGAAAACTATAGTGCCACCAGCCGACTCCCAATCATCAATGTAATTGAAGTTGTCAGCAGTCAGCACTTACTCGGCAATAAATTGCTCAATAACAGTCAGTGTGGGTTCCACCTGGTCCACACAGTTTCTGTGAGATAGCAAGAATTGCAGATGCTGGAGTCAGAGTCTATACAGTGTGGAGCTAGAGGAACACAGGAGGTCAGGCTATATCAGAGGAGTAGGAAAGATGAGGTTTCGGGTTTACACCCTTCATCAGGATAACGAAGGTCCTGATGAAGGGTGCAAACCCAAAACGTCGACTTTGCTGCTCCTCCGACACCTGACCTCTGCAACCTTTGTACAAATCTGGATAAGACAACTGAACTCCTGAGGTGTGATCACAGCTTCTGCCCTTGACATCAATGAGACATTTTACCAAGTTTGGCACCAAAGAGCCCAGGTAAAACTGGAGGCACTGTGTATCATGGAGGGAATTCTCCATGGAGTGATACTTAGCACGAAGGATGTTGTTTGTGGCTGCTGGAAGTCAATCATCTCAGCCACAGGATACCATTGCAGTAGTTCTTTAGGGAAGTGCCCCAGGCTCAACCATCTTCAGCTGCTTTGTCAATGATTGTCACTCCATGATAAGGTCTAAGGCAGCGACGTTCACTGATGATTGCACCATATTCACCACCATCCATGATACTCAAGCAGTGTGTATCCAAACACAGCTAGGCCCTGACAACATGCAGACTTAGGATGATAAACGGCAAATAACGTGTGTGTGCCACACGAGTGCAGAGCAGTGACCATTTCCAGCAAGGGACAATCCAACCATTGCTCCCGACAAATGATAGTATTAGCATTATCAACATCCGTGACCAGGAACTAAACATAAACAGCCATGTGAAAATCACACCTGCAAGTGCAGGTGACATGCTGGGAATTTTGCAGTGAGTAATGCCCTCCTGAGCCTTCAAAGCCTGTTCACCATCTATGAGCCATTAATGTTATGCAATACATTTTATTTCTTGGATGAGCAGTGCTCCAACAATGCTTGTGAAACTCAATACCATTCAGGAAAAAGCAGCGAGCTTGACTGGCACCTCATCTAACATTCACTCCATCCACTATCAATGCAGACAGGCAGCAATGTATATCACAACAAGAGATACTGCAACAACTCACCCAGGCTCTTTCAACACCACTTCCAAACCAGAAACATCCACCACCTAGAGGCCAACAGCAATAAAGTCCATGGGATCATAATTAGCTGCAAATTTCCCACAAAGCCAAACACCATCCCAACTTTGAACTATATTGCTGTTCCTTTACTGTTGCTGGGTCAAATTACTGCAACTCCCTTTCTTAACAGCACTGTAGTAGCCCTTCTCAAGACCAATAGCTGCAACAGTTCAAGTTGCATCTCAACACCACCATCTCAAAGGGCAATTAGTTCTTTTTATTCAATCACAGGTTGTGGGCATCACTGGCTAGGAAAGCATTTAATGCCATCCCCAAAAGCCCAGAGGGCGGTTAAGAGTTAACCATTTTGCTGTGGGTCTGGAGCCACATGTAGGCCAGACCAAGTAAGGATGACAGTTTCCTTCCTTAAAGGACATTAGAGAACCAGATGGGTTTTTCTGACAATGATTTTCATGGCCATCGTTAGACTCTCAACTCCAGATTTTTTTAAAATTCAAATTCCACCGTCTGCCAGATCCCCATAACATTACCTGGGTCTGTGGATTAATAGTCTAGTGATAATACCACTAGGCCATTGCCTCCTTAAATTGATGATGCGCAATACTTGCTGCTTTAGCTTGAGAGTCCCACTTACCATGGCAAATAAATGTAGCCTGAATGCAGGATTAAGTTTGGTATTTTGAACGTGCCTGGCCAGGAGACCCCTTCAAAGGATGGAAGGAAGGAAAGAGCTTTGGCCAGAGGAGAGGCTTTTGTTTGGGATGAGTTGGGAGGGTCGAAATTCAGCCTGGTAAGCTTTATTCAAACCTCAGCTGTCCTGGCTAAACAGGCCTCCCTCAACCAACATCTTGCTGCGACCAACCATTTACCTAATGATAGTTACCTCATGATAGTCAATACAGTTCAAATTACTTTACTGATTGTTGTTGAAGTCTTTGGGATGGCGAACTGACGTTATAGCTCAGTAAGTCATTGCGAGCTCCTTTTGTCCTCTACACTCTGAAATACAACACAAAGAATCATAGTAAAACCAAACTGTTCTCATCAAAACTTCTAACTCTTTCCCCATCTAGAAATATGTTTGTCAAAAGATCCTACCAATGGCAGGACAAAGTGTCTATCTACATTCAGGAAATCCAAGAAGAAATCCGCTGACGACTCAAATATCATGAACATACACAGTCCATTTGTAGCATTAAAGACAAGAGCTTTGTACCAAAGAGCAATATGTTAGTAGTTGAATTTCAATTTAAAGTTGTTATTAAATGCATTCACTATATTTCTCTTTATCCCTTTCATGGATTGCCAGTGTCACTGACAAGGTATTTGTTTCCCATCCCTAATTGCCCCTTGAGATGATTAGGCCATCTCTGAGGGCCGCTAAGAGTCAAACACTTTGCTGTAGTCTGGAGTTGCATTTAGGCCCATTGCAAAAAGCACGCCATCACTGTCACAACACAGCAGACAAAAGGATGTCCAACAACTTCAAACTAAACATGTCCATCTCATGTTGTGCTAGAAACCCTTAATTCAATCCTACTCTGCCAGTATGCGGCTAGAACACATTACCCGTAGATTAGTGTGTTGATTTATGCAACATTTCTCCTCAATATCCCATTTTCAGCATGCTTTGATTATGTGTAGGTGACTGTACAGGGAATGCCAGACAGAGGGACAATTCTACTAGTGAAGCAGGCTATGCAAAGGTATCTATCAATTATCCATTGGGTTATACAATGTACAAATACCACTCATGAAAGCCCTGTTTCGGTAACTCTTCACTGCTTAATTGCGGACTTGGCAAGTGTGATCAGCAAGTCAGGGCAGGAAATAAACACGCATCTAAACTTGTCCGATAGCAGTCAAAGGTGCAGTATTTAGAGAGGCTACAGCAATTCCTCCAAATGAGGTAGATCAGCCTGGGAATGTAGTGACGGCAGTGCACAGAATCTCGGATACTCATTTTTACACAACTACAGCAGTATCAAGCACTTTCAGGTCAGACAAGAGATAAAGTTTCCTCCACATTGCCCTGTTAACTCAGTAAAATGCAATGATTTAATCTTTATTGCTGCCCACACCATGCCAGATGCGTTCTTGAACATTATTTAGTATAAATATCTGGGAGATATCCAGCAAGGATCCATAACCCAAGTATCATAAGCCACATTCAAGACTAGAATCTCATTGCAGTTCAATTCACAATCTTGATACAACACTAGGTTTTTAACCCCAAATATCCCAATCAAGGTTCACACATCTCAGCTCAAGTGACCACTAACCATGTGTAACCACAAAGGGCAGTAGACAAAACCAAGAGAAATGAGTGAGTGGCAGGCATCAACTAATTTAATACAGAACAAGCATCAGGGTCTGCCTGAGCAAAGTACTAAACTGGGCAAGCGGCTAGCCTTGATAAAACAGCATCAAGCTACCTCTCGTTAGGCAGAAAAACTGCACCCCAAGTCTCACACCATTTTAAGAAGAAAGGGACCAAACGCAAAGCAGCAACTCAGAGTCAGGAACTGAATGTGAAACACCTGGTATTTATTGTATTAGTTTTCAATACAAGAAAATGCATGAACTTAAAAAAAAAGGAGAGAGTAAGTTCTCCACTGCTGACAGAGGCGCAATGTACTCCTGACCAGCACAAAGAATCGTTACGACTTAAAACTAGAACACGCAGAACAAGCCCGGTTTTCAGAGAAAGCAGGAGGGGGGCGGGGTTTGGCCATTGCTCTCTGCGAATACAGTGAGCCTGTGTCTAGAACTGAGTTTTACTTTACTTCTGTAACTACTTCTAAAAAAAAAATTAGGGGTGGGGTATCGCACCAAACGTCCTTTGCGCTATATCCCGCTGATGTACGCGTCCCGCACAACCCGAAGATTCGCACGTATACTGGGGGTACCCGACTCTCATCAGGGAATACTTAATCATTCCTGTAAGAAACAAAAAAGCACACACGGATGTCAATTTTGATTTCTTTAAATATATATGTTAAAAAAGAGGCACACATCTCACCTCGAGTTTGTAGCCTGAAATACGCAGCCATTTCACCCTGTCCTACACGAGCCATGTCGATAACAGACTCAGAGACATTCAGTGGCTAATGCACAAAGAACTGAGATCCTCGGCAGCAGAGAAAGAAAAACAACTGTTCAATATAAAGATAAAGAGCACGAGGTTCTGTTAGCACTTTGGTTATACATTAAGCACTTGTCAACTTCAATCACGGTGCAGTCTGCTGTTCAGGTCAATGTGCACCCGATCACCTGCGGTTATCACCTCCATATGGAGGAGCTCTGGTTCCACGGGTTTCCTTCCATTAAAATGTGTAATTGGTCCCAATCCACACATCAATCTTAATGGAAGCGCATCAGAAGCCTACTAAATAACACTGGGAATCCCAGCCAACCCTGAACCATCCCGGGAGGAAGGGGACAGAGGAAGAGGAGCCTTGAAGCTCCTTGTGCAATAGCCGCCTGAAGTAGCGCCTGCAATGTCAGACACACACCTGCAGTTGGAAAGAGGATAGTGCCTCACCTTTGGATCAAAACATAGAGTATCGTGAACGGTCCATGTAGGCATTTCCCATTGTGCTCGGTATGTCATATGGAGATCTAGTGGACATTGGTGCCGCACTGACTTGTGTGTAATCAAACCCAAATCCGGTGCTGGAGGCGGCCATGGGCATCCGTCGCAGAGGGCTCCTATCCCGGCTGTAATAGGGAAGGGGTGAGGATGGCACTGGGTGCCTCCCATAGGGATCTAACCCGCCAGGGACACAATTGGTCATCGCAGTGCCTATAGGTGCAAGCTGAGTTGGCCGCCGATCAAAGTAGGGGTCTCCCGTCGCTGCATATGGCTGTGCCGGGTAGCTCTCGTAGTGGTGAGCCATCCCGTACCGCTCATCGTACATAGGACGCTCTCCGTATGCTGACATGGGCCGCGTTGGGTAAGGTTGGGGGTAGTTGCAAGAGAATCCGCCATCAAAACCGCCGCGATCTTTGGGGCATTCTTTAGACCAGTGGCCCTCTTTACCACACCGGTAACAGCCATTTTTCTCGCCCATCCCAGGTTGTGTCCGAAGCCGGCTCCTCGACAGCTGGACATGGATCCGTTTGCCTTTGAAAACAAGACGCAAGAGAGTTTGCTCAATGACACTTTTCTTTGGAAAAAAAAAATGCGGTCTCTTGCTGTGGTTCAGTTTAAACCCAGAGCAGAAGTGGCAAGGGTTGGGATGGGAGTTCCGGTTACAACTGCTACCAAAGGATGCAAGTAGAGTCATAGGGGAGTCGAATAACCATCATTTAGTTGGGGAGGGAGTGGGAATCAGGGGTTTGGTGGGGAAAGACAGACATCAATTCTATAAATGTTTTTGTGGATGAGGCTGAACAGAGTTTGCACACACCCATAGCTGGTACTGGGGACAAACTGTAAACTATCTTTGTACACTGCACATTTAAAAAGAGAGGGGTAGTTTCTCATTTAAGGTATTCCCCTACTCCCTAAAGGGGTGAAAATTCCTCACAAGAATACAGCTGTGATTTCCTAAGTGCTACAAGTCTGACAGACCCTAAAACCTTGTCGAGGAAAGATAGCATCCAGTTGATCGAATACCGCAGTACCAGAGATGGTACCCAAAGTTTTGTCTCCCTTCCCTCCATCAGCTGAGAACTGTGGCTGGGTGACATTGTGTACTGGTCTGACACAGAAGGGGACTCAAGCTCATGGTAACCATCAGGTAGAAGACACCATTTTAAAGCAAAGATGTTAACCTTTTTGTTGATTCTTATAAATGAAAAAGCATTTCTCAATAGAGATGCACACTTCCCTGGTTATTGCTCATTAAGACAAATGCCTTTTTGCATATTTGTCTCAACTAAGTGTGGAGAATGAAGAAAAACCAGACTGGTGTTGAGCCAGTCTGTGAAGAAACCAAAATATATGTCACAGGATGTGATATTCAGTTAGCTCACCTTCTTACCACTTATCAATTCAATGAGGTCCATATAGAGTATCAATGTTCCCCAAAGAAAACACAAGGAGCAAATTTACAAAAGGAGCAAAATGATGAGGTTTCCCCTAAGGAGGCAGCAAACAGGTCAGACTGCGCTGCTGAATGGTATCCTTCTGAAGAATATCAGAATGGTGGGAAGGAACCCCACAAGATACTTCCATGCACAGCATAGTGCAGCAACAGTTTGGCCAGGCATGAAAAGTGTCTCCAAACACACACCCATCTCCAAAGCTAACTGATGGAGGATGGAACATGTGCTGGCAACGAGGCAAAAATGCAGCTGCAGGGAACACCAGATTATGGTGAAGCTTCAAAGCAAGCGCACAAGAATTCTACACCATGTCCACTTGGAAAGGCAACAGGTACTAGTTCCTTCTGCAAACAGCACCTCGAACTCAACACAAGAGTGACAGACTTGTCTCACTATGCCATCAGTTCAGACGATGACCAAGGAGCATTACACCAGCATTAAAGAGGAATAAGATTTTTCCACTCTTTAATATTATCAATACATCAAATCAGAATTGATCCAACTTCCAAATGTCTGGGTTCAGAACCTTCAACCTCTGTGGCCACATTCATTTACAGAAACTTCAAGCTGTTGGTACAAATATATATTGATGGTTTGATTCAAGTTTTATCCAACACAGTGAGGCAACAAGAACAAAGTTGCTGGAAAAGCTCAGCAGGTCTGGCAGCATCTGTGAAGGAGAAAACAGAGTTAACGTTTCGGGTCCGGTGACCCTTCCTCAGAACCGACCCGAAACGTTAACTCTGTTTTCTCCTCCACAGATGCTGCCAGAC